AGGTACTCGCGTGGATTGCTTACAGCCGGCGAGTCACAGCCTCACGAAGTGTGACTCGCCCGTGCATACGCCGTCATAGTTATTGTTATTAACTAATTTAATATATTGGCCGAATTTAATATGCAACACTGGTAACACTTAGGAAATGTCACAACAAATAAGCGTACAATTTCTGATTTCAGGTATATGCGCTAGAGATACATGTAAAAGGATGAGATACTGCTCCAACTATTGGTTGAACCGACTGAACGATTGTATTTCTGACCGATTCAATTAACTGGTAGAATCAACTGGCAATCATAGCAGTATCTGCGCTGTGATGGACGAATCGCAGCTCTTCTGCGCTTTCAAAATCTCGAGAAAATTATTTTTCGTGAACAATGTAATGAGCAATGTATAATTCATAAAATATTGACTACACACTCAAAAAGAAACTCAGCCGGTTTTTATCAATAATCTAATAATTATTACTCGTTTTAACATTATTATGTGGTGTATGTGCTCTCCAATTTATTATATGTGTTCTATTTTCACATGTATAAATTTAAATTCTTGAAAGATCATGGAAGATTTATGTAGGGACTTATTACGCCATAAATGCACTTATTTACGATGCATATATTTTCAGTGCGCATAATTAATAAAAGCGTGGTTTTAAGATTAATTCTTTACCTCACAATATTTTGGATGTTGCACTAATGTTTTGTCGCAAAAACTTGGAATTCGGAAGAACAAGAAGAAGCAGCAACGGCGCAACTGCACCACTCGAAATGAAAACGCAGTGGCAATAGAGGCAGAAGTGCAATGAAAATCCTTCATTACAGGGAACACGACAGCAATTTCAAAATGTGTCTTTCTATAGCTAGAAATGAATTCAAATATTCATAAAAATTCAAATATTAATTTAAATGATTGTGTAATTGATATTTTTACCGTAATATAGGTATCGATAACGACATTGGAACCATCAGAGTGGAAAAGCATTAAGTAACATTCCAGCTGTAAAGAATACAGAAAAACAATTTTCTCCTGAGCAAGTAAATTTAAAATTAGAGATTGAATGTTAAAATCTTGCTAAGCATTAAATATTAATTCAAATTCTTATGCGTTTTAAAAAAAATTGATTTATTTAGTTCAGCAATCTACACAGACCAACTGTTTCTGCAGTATGTAAACCTAGGTGGCTCGAATTTGTGTGCCAAAATCACCTTAAAGTAGGGTATTGTTATTTAAACCAATAATATTCTTATAATCACGTTGAAATCAGTAAAACATTTTTGTGTATCTTTTATTAAAACTCTTTTTTTTACTTTTATGTTTAATTTTCCATTTAATGAAAGAAATGAATTAAATAAGTGTACTGAAGAAATTTCATTGAAGCAGTGTAGCGCGTTATTTCAACATTTCAAAACTTACTGGCTTTCACTTTTTACATCACATAGATAACCCTAGAGATCCTACAATCATATTAACATGTCTAAATCATCAGCTGTAATTGGAATTGTAATAAATAATCACAAATTGCTGTAGTTAAAAATTATTTCGACATCTTATATTTACAATATTAAATATAAAGAAATATCATTTAATGGCATCTGTTGTTGAAAGCTCTAGAAATAAGCTCATGTATAATTTTTCCAAAATATAAGTAGTTTTCGCGTAAATTTGCGTGAAATATCTCAATTTTTAAATAATTATTTTTTCAAAAGTCTCCGAGTTTTTGTTTAATTTCTTCCCTCGTTTGTATCAAAAGTAGGTATAAAACTGCTAACGGTAAACCAACATTACATTATTCTTCACAACTTCGTATTATTTTACACAGTATATACGTACGTGTATACGAGTTTCAATAATGTCCAAGGGGATCAAAGATCATTTTCCAACTATGACGTTTATTTTTAAAGTTTCTCAATTAACAACATTTAGAATTTATCATTTATTACCGTGTAACAGAATATATATCGTAAATGTTAAATGGTGTATTTCATCTATTATTCTTCATTAGCACGAAATTAGATGGTGATAACAAGAGTATGAAACGTGAAGTGCGAGGGAAGAACATCAGACGAGTCGTGAGTGACAAAATCTCAATGACGAGCTCCGTCAGTGGAAATGGTTTTAGAGAATCGGCGTAAGCGCAATGGCTCTGCTCTAGCTGCAGTTTCCTTTCGACGGGAGCTCGCAATTTGTACGCAATTCGCAGGCAATTTGAAATTTTGACCTGCAGCATCTCCAAAAGATGTGAAAAGTATAATGTAGTTTTACAGTATTTTCCATCGTAGGTATTCACTTTTTTTTAATCTCTTTATCGTTATGACTATCGCCCAAAATTATATTATTTGAAGACGGTGTTCTTCTTCACTAAGAATTAGTTTAATTTTGAAAAAACAACACTCGGATTACGTGACAGTTTTGCCCGTTCCATTCTACCCGACCGGACAAACAAGCAGTCACAAGCGTCAGGAAAGAAAGTCAATCGTAAACCCTTGGCTCCGAAATTTCTTCAGGAGTGTGGTTGCGCCTCCCATGTTCTGAACAAATCCACTTGACCTGTTCCAAGTCACTCGCCCGAGCGAACAAACGAACAGAACGACGGTGATCGATGGCCTGGCAGAGAAGGGGGATCACAGCCCCATCTGCTCAGCTGAACACGAAACGTAAATCCACGAGAGAAAAGTCTTTGGGCGCTTTGCTGATTAACATCTTACATGTACAAACGTGGACGGGTAAAACAGTCGAGAATGTCTAGTGGGAATGGAAGCCATTTACACTTACATTTGTTGCTCACGGTCGATTTCTTTCATCCTCTCTTTCTTTTCTTTACTTTAAACGAGTTTGTGAAGCAAGTAGTATTCAACACAGTCAATTTTTTCGTAATGTTGTTTGACCGCTACTACTTTAAGTGCACATTGTGTACTAAAATGAATTCGTCTTTACTTCTCGAATAACATTTGCAATTCTTCAGTCTGTCTTTAATTTCAACTGTTGAGTAATTGGCGCGTTATTTTATTCGACATACCTTACCACGGCGAGAAATTCGCGTATCAAAATTCAACACCCATTCCACTCGAAATTATGAAGTGAAAAATGTGTTAACAAGCGAATGGTTAGTGAGAATCAAAAAGTTCGCTTCCTGCTTCCTGCATTTACCGAGAACCAAGTCTATTTGTTGCAATTTTCAACGCCGCGCGTTAAATAGAAAGTGGGGATCTTCAGAAAGCATTTAAAAATACCGCAGTTGATATTATTTGAGCTTCGATGTCCTTTCATTAAAATTGCGCCGCTCATGGAGAATTCTGATTTGTTGTTGTGGAAAATTATTTGATATATGAAAATATTCCGTTTTAGAATTAATATTTTTTATAAAATTCCATATTTTAAACAATACATCTTTAAAGAAACGTTTTGTATAAAAGTAAATAAAAATAAAGTAGCGAAAATGTAAGCTTGGAAAGGACATTAGTGATTCGTGTCGGGCGGTGCGAAATTTATAAAAAAAATTTCTTCTTGATCAGTCAGCTTACATTACGCTTCGGGAGTATGAAACAAGAGTTAATGTCACATTGAGAGTGCCGTGCAGTATAAAATAATCCGTACCGTTGTGATCATTTTTCGCGATGTTTGTGAGCGCGCGTATTCAGGGCGCGGCGGGAGCGATTCTCGCGTCCAACACTCGGCCTCGTTTCCATAGCTTCCGCCCATCCATCCCCTGCTTCCGGTAGCACCGACTGGGCCGGGCGAGGCGGGGACTGCAGTGGCAGACCACCAGGCCACGAGGCGGGGCGCGCGGGCTGGAGCGGCCTGAAGAGAGCTGAACGCGCGCGGGCACAGCAGGCGCCATGGGCAAGAAGGACGAGGCCACGGTGAAGTTCCCCATGTGCGGGTGGAGGCCCTGGGGCACCGCCGACACCTTCATCACCACGCAGCGCCACGACTACCGCTGGCCCGTGCCCCGGTACGCCCCCTTCACCCCCTTTTCTCTAATTGGTGCTTCCGGACTCTTCAGCAGCTGAGGTCATTAGTGCCGCTTGCTTTTACCGCGGGGGGTGGCAGTGATCTTGCCCCATTGAATAGCGAGACACGTCAGCTTGCGTGTTTTCCCCAACCAGGTATTTCCCACTAGCGGGGCAACGCCCCGGCCGGAACAAGCTCTAAGCTCCCGACTGCTCTCTCGTCTTGTACGGTAAAGTAATGCAAGGGATGAGAATAAGACAAGGAAGGGAAGGAATGATCGCGCGCAGTCCGTGGCCCGTTTGTTAGGGTACTATTCCAGCATTCTATCGGTGTAGATCGGAGATCCCACGGAAAACTGTTGACTGAGCAGTCGACCGCTAGAATTCTCCTACGGTTGCGGGCAGTTGTCCGCACAGGGTCAAATGTAACCGACGAAATGTTTTCTTTAAAAACCAACGCCTACTTCGTTTTCGTACCAAATCCGTTCAATTTGATTACAGTCATACTTGGTGGCACACTGCCATTAACTAAATATTTGACGCCGCCTTAATACGGTACATCAAGTAGATCAGAGCGCGTGCCTTCGAAACTGTAAGGGATATGTGGACGCAGTTTGAGCCAAGTTGTTGTAGATGACAAGGAAAATATATTTAATTGACTTCTTTTTAACACTTTTAACTTTTAAGAAATTGACAAAACTTAAGTTTTTAAATGGAAGTATATATTTTTTCTACCAACATTCTAAAGAACTCGAAGAGATGAATAAACCGATATGAGAATAATCAGTGTTTTTGTAATATTTCTGTATTGCCTTGCAACAGAAAAATAATGAAGTACCAAGAAAATAATAAAAATTGTATTCCTATTCCGCATCAGAATATATTAATTGAGCAAACAATTAAGGTAATAAATTCATACTCTAACTCAACTTACTCGTATTAGAATGTAAAGAACAAGTATTAGAATGTAAATTTGTCTCTAATATCGCTGCATTCTTGTTTTTTCTAGAACTTTTCGTTTTGGTAGGAAATTGTCTCTGAACTTACCTGAGCTTAAAGATTTCATATTTCTCTCGCTTCGTGTGTGACCTCTCATGTACACACGGCTGAGCGTACGTTAAGAAATCTTCAGGCGCATCCTGGAAGTGACAAAAAGGATTAATCACATTTATTCAATACTCTAAAAGCAATTTCATCTGTTACAATTTAGCAAGATATGTGTGCATTTGAATAATAAACAGTCAGAGTATATCTTGACATAACCTAATAAAGATGATAGAAGCGAAATGAACTCGTACATTACCTGTATATGTATTTTAGTCGAAAATATTTTGATTGATTATTGATTAGTGCTTCCAATCGCTTTAAATGCTACGACCTTAGGCCCGTAAGTGTAGTGCGGGAGGTGGCGGTGCTTCGAGTCGCGTTAAATGTTATACCTGTTAGGCCCTTAAGTATAGTGCTTTTTTCGTGTGAGATGACTTATCTTGCTAAGCTGGATGGCGAGATTCGGCGCCTACCTACACGCGGACTTGCTGGTATTTCACCACCCAGCTACCCTCCCCCATCCGGGGCTAGTTCTCAGCCCCTGCCCGGTCTCCCGGGCGTATGTGAAGGGCGGGGCCGCAGGGGTTGCTCCCCAACGCCTGCTTTGTGGTTGTGGCGGCAGCGTGCAGATGTGCGGGCGGCAGCTCAAGTACCCGAAGAAGCCGGCGCGCACGTGCATCGACGGGCACGGCGTGTGTCGGCTGCGCCACGTGGCGGTGCCGCAGTACTACCCGCTGCCGGGCGCAGAGGCCGCCTTCTACGCGCCGCCGGGCATGATCTGCATCCAGGTGCCCCCGTGCCCGCCGCCCACCGCCCTGCCCGGCGCCGGCATGCCCTCCAAGCGCGAGTGCGAGTGAGTAGCTCTTCCAGTTCTACTTGCACAACCAGTGCTAGAAGTGTTCACGTACATCCGTGAAAGAAAAAAAAACACATTCGCCTCTGCTGATGAATCATTAAGTTATTTTTACACTTGAATTAATACAAAACGAGTCAGTAAGGCTGTCTAAAAAGACACGCGTGTTAAAAGTAATTTTTCTTTTCTCGTCACAATTTTTAACTCCTCCGTCACAAACTTTCCTACAAACAAATTAAAACGTCGCCTTTATCACTCATACCATAAATAACTATTTTTAAAACTTATTACTTCATTAATTACTTCATTAATTACTTCATTTAATTTGATTACTTACTTAATTACTATGCTTTTAATGTACTTTATTAATTAATTTTGAAAACTAATATTATTCATAAAATCTAGCTTTTACGCGGAAAAATTCAATTCGGTTTAATGATTCCTTGTTTTACGCGTCGATGCTCAGGCCATCAGAGACATGTAGCACTCTCGCTACCAAACTGGCGATCTGAATTTTGTTCAGAGGCTTATTTTAGACTTGGCTTTTTTTTACATGCAGTAAATATACAACATGCGACAGCCGGCTTTACTTCCCCTCCGAAGTAAGGCGAACGAACAACTTTTCCCTCATAATAATCCACCGCTTCGATCGAATTTGAACCCGCGAACTTCGATATAACAGTCTAACACACCACCAGTTACACCATCAAAACAGAAAAATTCGGATTTTTATAAAAAATGCATGAAAAAGAACACGTTCTATTTTAATCAAATAATTCTGTGCGACAAGCAATCAGCATTCGGCAATGCCCACAAGGTCACCGAGAACAACGCAATAGAGAACCGGAAAGCTCAAGTCCACGATGTTCCACATCGTCGGGTAGAATTTCTTGGAGCCTTATTATGTACAAATAATTTGTGAATAACTGAGTAATAGCTGAGCTATTGATTTTAGTAACCAAAAACTGAACAATGAAAAGGTTTCTAAAATCTACTGGGCCAACGTTCACATCAGGTAAAAAACAACCTTTGCCACCCGGTGTCTCGTCAATAGATATCCCGACCTTGATTTTACACTATTTTTCTTATTTATTACCGCTGCCTCGTAACTCATTTGTGAGTTGTCGATTCACATGGCACAGATTATGCGGTTTATTTTTTAAAATGTGTCTTAATGTTCAATTTTCTAACTTTTCAATATTATGACTTTGGTTTGAAAATTGGGTTTACGGGCTTACGGGAAATTAGGCAAGTTCGAAGAGGACGAATTATTCACTCTTTGGGATATAGGGGACCTTCAACTACAAATGGCGTAGTAATTATCAGTAATGATGTTTTGAGTAGATGAGAGCGATTATGGTGAAAAATGAAGAAATGATCCACGTCCAACTTCATAATTTTAAATGAAAATTCACACTAATCAAATCAAAATTGGATTCTGCTAAACTATGGGAGACTTTTGTCAGCAAAATTTAGCCAATACGAAGCCAGCTGCTCTAAACTAGAGGAACTCTGAAATTTCCCAAGAGGTCCACAGAAAAGAGCCCTTCGGCGAAAAATAGCCACTCCAAAGAAAACAGAGACGACTAGGAACCACAGACATGGCGGATTTTGAGCATAGTTTATTTACACTGTTTACATAACAATTAAGTATCTATTTACAAATAGATACAAAGTCCTCGTCAGCATCAGCTAACGTGTCTCAGGCTGCCAGACCAGTGTGGGCCATATATCCCCCCACTCCAGCCAAATGTTGAAATTGGAGGTGAATATTAACGATATATAAATGTGCATATCATTTACATCTCTACACAGTTCTAATTTTCTCACGAGCCTTCAGCAAATATGTTCCCTGATCTTTCAATGACCTGACCTTTCAATTTTAACATTTCATGCCTGGCCAGCGTTATGAAGGGAAAATAGAGCTGCCACGACTTTTATGGGAAGCCTTCTGTGTAGAAAAATACATTTGATGCAGTACTGACCACGCCACCATTTTGATGGCCATCGCAAAAGCGACAGGAAGTGCGCCTCACGTGCAGATTCCGTGTGCACTTCAGTGCACATGCGCGGGGTAGATTTGGGTTCGATCCGAGTTGCCGACACGCGAGGTACATGACGTGTCCGAAACCCTCATTTTCAATGAAGATGTATCTTTCCTGCTGGAGGACGACGGGACACTGCAAACAAAGGCTTTGTTTCTGCCAATACCGAAAGTATTGCATGACTATGAAGATGACGCCAGCCCAATTTATCTCAGAGAGAAAAAGAAAGGGCAAGGCCCACACCTTTATATCCTCCTTTTCACGGCGGTGGTTCGTCTTTATAATAATAATAATAATAATAATAATAATAATAATAATAATAATAATAATAATAACAACCCAGCGTCTACCTCCGGCAAAACCTGACTGGAAATAGTATACCCTAAGCACTGGCAAATAAACATGGACACGGGCAGAAAGGGAAATCATCCCTTAATAAGAATAGAAAGTAATCAGTTCATAATGTATTTCGACCTTCCAATACATACTGATAAAACTATTCCGACAAGTAAACCAGAGATTCTACTTCATTACGTTCAGAAAAAGAAAGTGTGCATCAGTGATGTTACACATCCTACTGATCATATCAATAGAGTAGAAATAGAAAAAAATCAATATATATTTCCCTCTCAACACTAAAGGAATATACAAACTTGAGCCTGTTAAAATTACACCGATTATAAAAACAGCTACTGGATTTGTGAACAAAAAATATAAAATACTATTTGTAAAATTTGTCTTCCTCCTCACAAAATTGTTCCAAAATTTGAAAAAGTGCTCCAAATGCAGATCCCGTTGTTTACGCAAACGAAGGCTTCAAATTCCTGTATTTGGTTAGCTACTCAGTCAGCACGCCATTTCGTATCCTCTAATTTCCTCTTCCCTTGATTATTCGTCATCCTGAGGATTTCCTATGACGTCGTTCGACTGATTTCTGAACTTCCCTTTTTTTAGGTATAAACGAGATTACAGCATTAGAGCAGGGCTTAGTTCTCCTTGCAATAATTGGAAAAGGAAAGGTTAGAACTCTTATAATAAACGACAAAGCCAAAGTTCGTGCTTTTATAAACAAGAATAATGACAATAATCAATAATCAAATTGTGTAATGATGTACCGTGTATTGTAAATTCGTAGGCAATTATGGAAAACCAAAAAGTGTGTCTGTCCTGTTCTTTGGCTCGGCAGCCAGAGGGCCTTGGAAGACCAGCGGTGGTTCAGGCTCTCGGCCATGGGATAATGGGTTCGTGTGGTTAGCAAGAAGACATCCCTCCACCGTATATGATGGTATTCATAACCTTAAGGTGTGCTTACTCCTTGCTACACAGCAATAGATACTGGGACATTTGTAAGAAAAACTCACAGTTATAATATTGCCCAGGACGGGAATCGACCCAGGGTTTGTGCCGTAGCAAGCAAGCACGCTAACCAACTAGCCACAGAGGATCTAAAAAATATAGCAGTGGTATAAAATAATTGTATCATCGTCACAAGTTACAAGTTACAATGGTTTATATTTCAATATTATTATTTCATGAACTACGCGTTTTGCTAGTGGATCACTGTGAACTTGAATATCGATAGTCTACTCGTTTAGCCGAAAGGTTCTCCTTTCACGTCTCCTTTCAGGGTCAGTATGTGAACGCTAGGGAAAGGGGAGAGAAAAAATACAGAGTTTCGATTTCCCACACATTGTCCTGGCAGTTTATTGATTTTCCTGCGCTAGTAATAGACACCGACGCACGGCACGACACGGAATATGTGCTTCGTATGCACCATGCATTTGTAGAGTCGAAAATCGTCACAACGTCGATAACATTCAGCATGAAGATAGGAAGGGCGAGAGAGAGGATGGCAACTCCCCCTCCTAAATTTCAACTTCTTTTCGATCCATATTAATATATCATAAAGTATTCTTATTTTTTTTAAATTAACTCTTCTAAAATTAATTTGAAGGTCACATTTCTCTTTCTCTGCCACGCATTCCTCATTCACCACCTTATGTGGTAAAACCCTCAAAGATGGACAATATCAGGAAAATGACTCTATATTTTGCTTAATGAGCAATTTTCTATGCATCTGCATTTCGCTTCGAGAATTGTGCAATTGTGTTAAAGCTGGTTGCATTAGTACACGCTTTTCTTAACAACTGC